AGCAATATTTTTATCTAAATTTATATTCATTTAATCATTCTATTATTCTTTAGGCTAAATAGTTAGATCTTTTTTATTGACTAGGTTGGCTTTGGAAATTTGGTAGATTTTTTAACTCAGTAATTTCTACAGTAAGTAGGCACTTAACCAGAATTATCTCAGGACAAATTTCAAAACAAGTATATTACTGATTCTATTCCCACTCCAGCCTACTAAATAAGGAGTTTGATGGGACATATGTATTTTATAAATGCTCTATATATTATATGATTCTGGTAACCATTTACCACTCTAATTTAGGGAAGTTTTATAAGGTGGTAGAGCTCTTAGCTCAATTTCTACTTAGCTTCTATTGTATCCTGAATGGCTGAAAGATCCTTCCCCTGATGGACATGGTTTGCAGTACAAGAACAACAGTATATAGTTATATACTTCTCTTGCCAGAGAATTTTTAAAAATCTGGTTAAATCTTCTGCCTTTTCTGTCTGCAGGAAAGGTCTTTGTGTTGGGGAAGCTTCGACTCTTTTTTTTTTTTTTTTTTTTAATTCTTTCTGCTACCTCATTTCTTCATTGTTCCTTTTTAGTTTCCATTTTGTGATGGTAAAAAGTTACACACATTGAGTAAGTAATATATTATAAAGAAAGGGAGCCAGGCAGTTGCGTATGCCTAAATGAAAATGGTATGAGGAGGAAATCAACCTCTTTATTTTTCTTCTCCTTCCTAAATTTTTATGTATACACTTGATGATATGGAATTATTTGGGAATTTAAAATAAACCTGGAAAAGCCTCTTGAATAGGAGGTGGAGACTGCAGTAATTGCCTACCCACATGCTGAGGTTCTACAGAATAACATGAGGGGCCCATCCAGTCCCACACTTAATATTCTTTACTCCCAAGCAGGGCCGTTTTGGTGTTGTTGGTGTGCTCTACGGCCTACTGGTTCCACTTCTAGTTGCCTTCACATCCTTTTGCTCCAAGCACCCAGATTCTTTTTTATTTTTCCCAGGCTTATTCTGAGTCCACTTCCTTCTTTGTCCTGTGACGTTCTTCCCAAGCACGTGGAGCCCTCATGTGGGCTATAAATACAACCTAAATATGAGCATTTACTTAAAATCATAAAAGAAGAAAAATATCCTAATTGTCCTTTTGTAACAATTCAACAGTTTCTCTTCTTTCCTCTCAAATATAGGAAGGGACATAGAAAATGAAAAATTTTCTTCATCTACTCAGCCCAGAGCTATGCTGTTGTGTTCTGCCTCCTGTGATATATAGCTCTTCAACCTGGAGATGAGTCTTGAGAGAAGTGTTTTAAGAGGAAAGACATATTTAAGCTGAGTTTTAGGAATGAACTTGCCCCTCTTTATTGCCACCTCTCTTTCTCCATTATTTGTTTCCTGTAACCAGAAAAACTATGCGGCTGCTCATACTACTAGGTTAAAACCCATGAAAGCAGAGATTGTCTACTTTGTAACTGTATCCTCGGTTTAGTACAATGCTTGGTACAGAGGAGGTGTTCAGTAAAAACTTAGTGAATAGAGAAAGAACCAAAACTGCTGAGTAGAAAGAAAACAATCCACACAAAAATAACATACTATTACAACAAAATAAGGTTATTGTCTTAATAAGCTTTGTTACCTGGTTTCTTTAGGAGATGGCAGTTTTTTCCTAAGTTTTAACCAGAGGAATTTATAAAATTTGAAGGATTTAGAGTGCTCAAGGCAACAATTAGAAGTGGGAATGACATGGTAAATGTAGACAATTTACTGCCAAGAGAAATAATAGGCTGGTGGCTTAGTAGTCAGGGTTCATTCAATGTAGAGTTGTTAACACTAAAGTGCTTAGTGTTACTGAGTAGAGCATGGATGAACCATCACCTTCAGGCAGGGAAATGTGAGGACTGGCTGAGCCAGTGAGTCCACAGGTGGCCCCCAGAGAATGTTACACAGTGTAATACCGTTTAATAACTTGTGTGCATAATAATAGGTAGATAATACTTATTTTCATTTTGCTAAAATGTTTTTTAAAACACCAAAATTTATGAACATTTTGGTACATTAATAGTTTCATCTTTTTACTTCCTTAAAATTGTGAGGTAAGTGTTACTAACTAGATCCATAAAGGATTCTAGAATATGGACCCTGAACCTTGTTACTGACATAATGAAACATGCAAAGCTGGGAAAATGATGGAGGAAATGTAGAAAAAACACCAGGACTTATTGAGTTTGGCCTAAGTTATTGAGTTTGGCCTAAGTTGATCTTCTAGGAATTAATGTCTTAACATTCTCTTGAGTACTTCTCTTATGCTTCTCATTTTGCTTTTCACATAAAACTCAGAATATTGTAAATATTGATCTCAAAGAAGCAATTTTTAAATAAAATTTTAAATATACACAAAAAAAGTATACAAAGAAATATACACTCGATGACTTGTCAAAGTCACAACTAAGTTAATCAGCATCCAGATCAAGAAAATGAACATTACCAAAAAAGAACCCTTCTAGTCCTTTCGGTCTCACACCTTACTGAAGTCTAATAACATAGTTTGGGTTGAAGGAATGGTATTAACACTTACTCTGAGGAGTTCTGGAGATTTCTTTAGTGAGCTTGGTTAAAGAAGAAAGAAGTATGAATACAAACAGTTATCTTTTGATTTTATTTCCCTTTCTGTAATATTTGCAGCTAAGCATGACTGAATTAGGTAAAAGCTCTTGGGAGGTTGAGTTTGGTTCCCATGTACCTTGTTGATGGAAAAAATGGAAACTCTTTTCTGCACATTTTCTCCTCTCTTTGGCTGAGGAACACAATTTTGTAGTGCCACTTTCTTTTCTGCCTGTTTCTTGGCTTCAAGGGGAGTTACCACCTCTGTTCAGTCAGAAGTAACTTTGATGCTCTGTCATCTGTGTTAATTTATTACTAAATCAACATGCTGAATTTAGACTCATTCCCTGGATTTGCACAGGATATGAGAAATGAACTATTTTCTCTACACATTTATTCAGAATTAATTATTTCAGTTTTGAGAATTAACTACTCATGGAGTATATAACTTAAAATGAACTCTTTTTCCATGTGGGGGGACTGATCGATAAAAGGTGATCTGGATGGAATTTTCATGACCACTGGCCTTATATTGTAAATCTCATCATATAACATTCTTTGCATTCTGAAAATCTTGCTAAGATTCCATTTTTCTGTTTATAAATTGAATCAACTCTTAAGCTTTTGCTCTTTAGAGAAACATACATATGTGTACATGCGCTGTGGAAATTGCCAGACTGAGGGCCTGCTGAATAGGAGAATTTGTCCATTTGACTTTTGTCTTATTATTATTCCCTTATTACCTAGGTTCTCTTAGATTTGAGGTTCTAGTTTTAAGACTATTCAGCCATGAGACTTGATCCCCAATTGGGACTACATATTAGGAGTTCATCTTGTATAATTTTATTAAATTCATTTTTATATGTGTTTTTTTCGGGGGAGGGTGAGGGGGTGTACCAAGGATTGAACTCAGGGGCATCCGACCACTGAGCCATATTCCCAGCCCTATTTTGTATTTAATTTAGAGACAGGGTCTCACTGAATTGCTTAGTGCTTTGCTTTTGCTGAGGGTGGATTTGAACTCTTGATCCTTCTGCCTCAGCCTCCCAAGCTGTGGGATTATAGACGTGCGGCACCCAGCTCCTTTTTACGTTTTATACTTTGGCTAATTTTTAATACTGTGGTAAAACGTATTTAAAATTTACTGTATTTATCATTTAAACCACTTTTAGTATTCTGTTGGCCATTTGATTTTTAGAATTTTTATTCTTTTTATTTTTGTGGTGCTGGGGATGGAACTTCAGGGCCTCATTTATGCCAAGAAAGTGTTCTCCCACTGAATCATTATCCCCAGCTCACTAAAATTTTTATTCTAGTCAATCCGTACCTGACAAGCATCAAGGATGTGCCTTGTGCTGATGTTGGTAGATCATGGGAAAATTGTGAAAGAAGTATAAATAAATATGGTTCTTGTTCTCAGGATCCCTGTTCTTAATTTCAGGAGATTAAGTTTCTTAGGAAAACAAGATATATGTACACCAGTTAAGTAATGACTCATGGTAGATAAGGCCTTAGATGTTTGAAAGGTTTATGTAAAGGTGAAACTCTACTTGGTCCTTTAACAGGGGCAGGATCTGTCTAGTACAAGAGAAAGGAGAAAGTGAGGAACAGTGAGGAACTAAAATAGTATATAAGCTATTTCATTGTTAAGTCTATCATCTTTCAGAGAATCTTTTTTCCCCCCAAGATTTAAGTTCTCAGTCTATTGTTTTTAAAAATAAACTAAATATTTGGATGAGGGAGCACAATATTGGTACATAATTTATATTTTTAAAAGTCTCAGAAACTGAGCTGGGATTGTGGTTCAGTTGTAGAGTGCTCACCTAGCACATGCAAGGCCCTGGGTTCGATTCTCAGCACCACATAAAAATAAATAAATAAAGGTATTGTCCAACTACAAATATATTTTTAAAAAAGTCTCAGACACCAATTTATTTAACTTGTGATATAGATAGTATTAAAAATCCAGATATGTAGTAGAAGAAGGGTTAAACTTCCTATTAAAATTCTGCAAATATCTATGTTCATGCAGCATTAAACTTTTCAATATATTATCACTTGGGAGTAGGTATTTCATTAGTGAATTTAGAACAATTGCAGTTATCATTTTCATGAAAAATAATTTTATAAAAATCAGCATGTAATAAAACATTTATTGAAATTAATCTTGAATGTCTGCTACTCTGAGAGCAGGTAAAAATATTTATAGAGTGGTGTGTATTATGGGTAAAGAGTGAATTTTGATTAATTTCTGAATAATCTTGTGCTAAGGCTCAATGACACATGGTGCCCGTTTGGTTTGTAACGGGTCATGGATTTCTTCTGGGTTAAACATAATGTCTTTCAGACAATAAGAAGTACAAAGTTAAAAGCATATTTTCTCTTTTCATTTCTGCAGGCAGCCAAATGTACATTGGGGACCACCATGTTCACGTGACATCAAGAGGAAACGGAAACCTGTGGCTGCAGCATCTCTATCCAGCCCCAGTGCAGGTGATTATATGTAGTTACCAGTTATTGAGTACCTTCTTTGTTTCAGGGACTAAATTATATTATGTGTTTCATATACCTTTTTGTGTAATCTTTACAAATTAGGTAGGTCATTTTATTCCCATTTTACATAGGAAAACAGATTGTGAGAAGTAATCTGCCCCATTCTCTCTAATCCCAAAGTCTGTACCTTTCACTTTGTCATGTGGCTTTCTAGATTTTGAAACCTTATATTCCACTATTAGCAGTCTTCAGTTATCTGGCTCTTGTTCTGGCATAGACAGGAAATTGGGTTCGTGTTAATGAAAATTCATTTGGGGTGGCAGTTTGGTAAGTAGACAGGGAATTGTGGTTTCATTTACATTCTTATTTTTGTGTGTAGTGTGATACAGTCTTATTATCTTTATGTATAGTAGAGTGGTAGTATTTTACAAGTCATGAAATTTTTAATAAAAAAACAATTTTTTCAGGTTAAAACTTTTTAGTTTGCTGTTCAAAACTAATACTAGTTGGTAGGAGCCAAAATAGTGGTTATATTTGGTGTGGGAGGTAATGACCAAGAAAGAATACCAAAAAACCTGGGGTGCTGGAAATGCTACATATCATGAACCAGGTAGGGATTACCTGGATATTTATATATCTGCATAATTTCTGTGAAGATTTTTGAGCTAGACATTTAAGATTTATGTAATTGACTACATTGCATATTGTTTAAAATGTCAGATATTAAAGATATTTGGGAGACTGAGGTAGAAGGATTGCAAGTTTAAGGCCAGCCTGGGCAATTTAGTGATACCCTATCTCAAAATAAAATTTAAAAGAAAGGCTGGGAATGTAGCTCAATGGTAGAGCATTGCCTACCACATGTAAGGACTTGGGTTCAAATCCAGTACTGTTAAAAATATACATTGGATATTGAGCACATAATAAATTGTTTTATTCTCCTTAGAAAATACAGATTGAACACCCCAAATTAAAAAATCTGAAATCTGAAATGCTCCAAAATCTGAAACTTTTCTGAGCATTGACGTGATACACCATAAATGGATTATTCTACACTTGATCTCATGTGACAGGTTGCAGCCAAAATGCAGATGCAGTAAAAATATTGTATAAGTTACTTTTAGGCTATGCATATAAAGTGTTCATAAAATAAAAATGAATTTTGTTGTTTGAACTTGGGTTCCATCCTAAATGTTCCATATATGCAAATGTTCCAAAATCTGAAAAAAAAATCTCAAATCGGAAACACTCTGGTCCCAAGCATCTTTAGAAAGGGATACTCAGTCTGTACCATACAGTATAGCATGATTGACAGCTGAATGAAGAGTAAACCTTAGTCAGGTATGGAATTCTGCCTGCCTGCCTTTACTTAGTGAGTTTCAGCATACTCTGGTATCAACCTCTTTGAGCTTCTGTTTGAGATGATTGCCTGTTGGTGGTTCATATAGGACAATACAGGTTTAATGATTATGATGTTTTTATAGTGCTTTTCATATGGCCATATGGCCAGGCTCTTCACTGAATACTTTGCATGCATTATTTCATTTAAACTATGCAACATCTTCATAAGATAGATACTATTTTTATTCCCATTTATATATGAGAAAACTGAGGCTTAAATCATTTCTGCAAGTTCACATGATTGATTAATATTAGAGTCTAGTGCCTGTAGAGCTGCCCTCTAAACACTGTGGATGTTCTGGTTTTTAATATACGGCAGAATTGGTTCCAGATTGTGACCCTACATCAAAACCCATGTCCTCATCCAGTCTGTGGTATTTGAAGTATTAAACAAAACTTCCTCTGTTATCTTTTTTTCTCCTTAATATCAATTTCTTTTTTTTAGCTTTTAATTCTTTATAAAAACAGAACCATTGGGATGAGTATAAAATACTTATTCCATATTCAAATCAGGAAATGTAGTGGGGGAATTAAACAAGACCTTAGCGTTAAACATTTCCCCTACTGAACCCAACTGCTCTCATCTCACTTGTTGACTAAGCCCTGCTTCACTGAGCATTTTTTTTTCTACCTACAACCTGAGTGCCCCATGGAGGTGAAGGACATAGCCCAAGCCTGCGCCATCAGTCAGTAGAACAAATGGGCTTGCTCTGCCTAACATCGGGCCATCTCGGATTCCACCTCTTTTATAGAAATGAGTGATGAAGAGAGGTGCGTCCTGCTTTGCCGCTGTATTAATACACATCAGAGGCCAGCTCCTGGCACTAAATCACGCTCCTGCATACATCTGTTATCGGACTCTTCACCAGTGTGATGAACAAGACTGCAGATAGAGGCTTCCTTGTGTCATTCTTTATAGGATTTTCCTAAAAGAATAAATAGCTCAGATCTCTGCCAACACTCTCCCCTGTCATTGTGATGAATTCAGCTTCTTTCTTAAACATGCAGCCACAAATCTTTTCTCTTTCCTCCCTCCCCCTCTGGTAGAAAGTTTTGAGTTGAAATTGACTGAATTTAAAGATATTAATAAGGCTATAGAGGTAAAGAGTGAGAAGGAACAGTGAGTCTTCTTTGTCTTTTTGTCTAATAGTAACAAAAGGCCATGAAAAGACCCCTTTCATAATGCTATTTATGTAGAACCTTCTTGAAAGAGCAGCACCTTTATTTTCTTCTTTTTAATCCCTCCCCCGCCCCACCCTTTATTGAATGCAGGTATCTAGTGCACAGAGCCACACCCTGGACCTTAGTGAGTAAGCATGCAAACCTGCTTCCAAGACTGATGGCCAGGATAGGGATTGCCCAGCAAGTCTGGATCTCATGTTAAAGTGAACTTCTGAATATGCTCTTACAAGTGTACTTGGAAAAGAAAAAAAAATGATTATTTTCTCCCAAATTTGAGACTAAGTAGCTTAAAGGAACATAACTTGGTTGAAAACCAGGCTTCATTTCCTTGAAATGATTTTCTTTATCAGAGAAGTAAATCAGAGCTGCTGGCATGCAAATTCCATTTCTTCACAAAGTAAAACACATGGTACCCACCCCCTCCCCTTTTTCCAGTGCTGGGGATTGAACCCAGGGAAGGAAGAGAATAGGCAGTTATTGCTTAATGGTTGCAGAGTTGCCATTTGAGATTTCTGGCAATGTAGATGCAGTGATGGTATAAAATGAACTTAATACTACTAAACTCTGCTTAAAAATGGTTAAGACAGTAAATATTATGAATAAATATTTTATCATAATAAAAAATGACAATTAGGGGCTAGGGCTGGGGCTCAGTGGTAGAGCACTTGCCTCACATATGTGAGGCACTGCGTTCAATCCTCAGTACCAGGGTTGGGTAGAATGCTGGCCTAGCGTGGGTGAGGCCCTGCCTGAATTTAATCCCCACTTCTGCAAAAAATTTTAAATTAAAATTTTAAAAGGGAACACACACACACACAAAAAAAAAAAACAAAAAAAAACCACTGATTTTTTTTTTTGAGGGTTAATGTTTCACTGTGGTGAATTTTATTTTCTGTTAAATATGAATATGTATGCATGAGTTTGTGTGAGTGTGTGTGTGTGTGTATGTGTGTGTGTGTTAGAGTGAGAGACATAAAGATAGATTTGAACTGTTCATATGTATTTCTTGCTGCTATAGTTGAGATTCCAAATACATTTTACATAGTCATTGATTTTAAAAACTTTTGTGTATGTGCTATAAAGTAAGAGCTTTCAAGATGCTTTTATATTTGACTGTAGTAAAAAATTTGTGTTTGAATATGTTTGTGATGTACATGTAAATCTGAAATAAATTCAGGGTATGTTCTGATATTTTCTTTTTTTTTTCACTGAGGAAAGAAAAAGGGAATACTGGTCATGACCCATTAAGTTAATTTTTCAATTCAAGTTTGAAAATTACTATTCTAGGTTACATTTCTGAGAGTAGGATTATTGAGTGATAGGGTAAAATTTAAACTTTACTGTATTTTGTTATATTTGTTCTCAATGGAGTGAGTGGTGACAATGGTAGTTTGTACTACTCTGTTTAGAGACATTTGGAAATGTGAAGAAAATGTTTGGTTGTCATAGTAGGAGGCGGGGAAATGCTATTGGCATTCAGTAGATAGGATCCAGAATCCTGAATATTCTGAAACACCCAGCACAACCAAGCACCAGTAGTGATTATTCTGCCAGAATGTCTTTAGTAACTTTGTTGAAAAATATTGCGCCTGATTGTGGGGTTTTTTGTTTGTTTGTTTTGTTTTTTTGGGGTACTGGGTATTGAACTCAGGGGCACTCAACCACTGAGCCACATCCCCAACCTATTTCTTTGTATTTTATTTAGAGACAGAGTCTCACTGAGTTGCTTAGCACCTCACTGTTGCTGAGGCTGGCTTTGAACTTATAATTCTCCTGCCTTAGCCTCCCAAGCTGGGGGGATCACAGGTGTGCACCTGGCCTGATTGTATTATTTTTGTATCATTTTCCTTGTATAGTATTTGTTGGGGACACTGTCACCTTGGTGGCCTGAGGTATGGCATAAAGAGCACAGGATGTAGATCAAGTATCTGTTGCTACTTAACCAGTTTTGTTGAATTACTGAACAAGTTATGTGATCTCTCCATGCCTCAGTTTCTTGATCCAAAAAATGGAAGTGATTATTTCTACTTCTGAGAATTTGCATTAAGAAATAGGGTCATGAGTGTTCAGTATTTAGAGATATACAGTGCCTGGCACTTAAGTGTTCAATAAGTGATGTTTACTACACTATGAATCTGTACTGCCCAATTTATTAATTGGTTCAGTTGAACCCATTTTTCTTTTCAGGTTTTACTTGCCTTTTGGTTTCCATAGAGAAAAAAGAGCCGGTTACCTTGGCACATGCTTATAATATCAGCTACTTGAAACCAAAAGGCTGAGACAGAAGCATCACAAGACTGAGGCCAGCCTCAGCAAGTTAGGCTGTGTTTCAAAATGGAATGAATGTACATATGCATGAATTGAGTGAGTGAATGAATGAAGGAAGGAAAAAACTTTATGGGCCACTTGGTTAACAGGACACAAAATGTAAGGATTAAAAAAATTTTATTTCCAAATATTTTTCATTCTGATTTCTCATTCTGTTTTGTCTCCCCTTGATTGTTTTTCTTGTTGCTTTTATTGTTGCACCCAGTTCACTTGGATTCGATGGAGCCAGCCACACCACCAGCACAAGCCCAGAAGACTCCACACCCTGAGTGGTTGGTCAGGACCTCTGCCACAGAGAAAGCCACTGACTCAATTACAGCTACATTTTTTAAAATGCCACAAGAAAAGAGTCCTGGATGCAGCTAGAGAGCACTGTTCACTCACCTGGAGCTGACTTGGTGTTGAAAGAAGCATTAGCCTTCCTAACATGTAGTCCTTTCCAGTCTTTTTATCACCAGGATGGACGACTCCTCACACAGCTGCAAACTCTTAGAAAATCATGTTGTGGGAATCTTTTTTTTTTAAGCTAGTGAAGTATTGAGGCAACAATGTAAAGAGAAAAAAAAGAAAAAAAAAAAAAAAGGTCATCCTCATCCTATTATGCCCCATCTCTGGTACATTATTGCTGTCCTATCATTTACCTATAGCTCCATTTACAGAGCTGTTGCCTTTTTGCAGGTATGTCTTTGTTCTTGAAAAACTGATAACTGCTTTTGCATACCTTTTGTGAAGAGCTTTTAATATCACTTGATGAAGTCCCAAATTTGCAGCCAGTTCCACATTCCTAAATGGAATTGTGTTTGCAGGAGATTAAGTTCACCTTGGAGCCAGGTCTTGATTCATTCAGAGTGCCAATAAGCTGTATCTGTCATGTTCTAAAAAGAGACACCAGCAGTGTGGCGGTTGGGAACTTCAGTTTTTCTGCAGATGATCTAATGGGATCAGCAGCAGCTGCATGGTACTTCACCTCATCTTCAAAGTTTATGTTTTAGTGAAAGAGGATGTATCCATACTTAAAGATGAGGAAGATGGTTTAGGTGTACAGCAAACTTAAAATAGTCATGGATTGTGTCTACTTCATGTTACAGTGTAAGCCTTTATGTTCTAAGTGGGACTTTATTGCTAGTGTTATAAGTCAGTAACCTATAGCAGAAATTTATACTCTATTATAATTATGGCTTCTCGGGGCCATACTTTGGTGAGAAAAAGTGTCTTTTTGACATACCTTTAAAGTTGGCGTGTTTATGACGGCTCAGCTGCATGCAGAGGTAGATATACAGTCGTGCCTGAAGTTGGAAGCTACTTTGTCAAAATGAGGAATAAGTGATTGCCTGGAGCTGCTGGAGAAAAGCCACACTTTCTCAAAAAGTATTATCAAGAGTGTCATTCAGGGGCCTGGTTGACAGAAGGGCTCTTTTTTTTTGTACGAATTGAGTGTTTTTACTCTGAAATACATGGAGACTGTTTGTTAAATGCTCACCGCTATGGTCACATGGGAGAGGAGCATCCATCCACCCCAGCACCTGGATATTTTCTGTCTTAAAAAGAGGTGCTGAGTGGAGCAGCACCTCCTTCCCCCAAAGTGTGATTCTCTCTTCCTCCCACACAGAATATAATAGTGGGTTGTTTTATTGTGTACCCTTTAAAAATTGTTCTTATCAGTAGAAACTCCAGAGTGTCTTGGTGAATGAGGAGGGCAGGTGGACGGGTATGAATCTAGTTGAAAAGGGGGAACTTGAAGATGAGTTTACATAGCACTTTATGTAAGACTGAGAACATGACAATTAACCATAACAAGGAAAATGAGGGAGGGGCTGGTGGAGATCTTGGAATGACTGAAGCCAGCCCAGCACCCTGGGAATCATCCCTGGCTCTCAGGCAGGAGTGAGTGTACCGACAGAAGTCTAAGGCTATACTCAAGAAATGTAGAGAACGTAATGTCTATTCTATATAAAATGGCACTGCTGAATTTTCTTAATGAAGAAGGTAGGTTTTGTGGCCGTGTGCTATCTCCCCATAGTGGCCAGGGGCACATTAATCCAGCCTACATAGTTTGATTTAAGGGAGAAATCTGTGGATATAACTTTTTTTGTTAGTGCCAAGCTCTGTGATTCATGCAGAGATTGGTCATGTCATGACCTGGTAAGACCTCTACAGTTCAGGTGCAAAGGTGTTCCAGCATCTTTTTTTAATGACATGTTGCCTACCTTTCTACCTATGATTTAAAATAATTTATATATGCAGCCTTATTTACATTTTAAACATCTCTGTGAAGTTATGCCATTTTACAGAGATGAAAACAGTCATGGAGTTGAGTGACTTGCCTATCACATGACTAAGCCAGGACTAAAATTCCATAGTTTCAGACTTTTCTCCCTTGGGTTATAATCTGTTTTTTCCTTTGTAGACCCAAATAATCAGTCTTAGACCCATGTTTATGAAACAGTTTGCCATGAATGTTTATCATCTGTCTTGGGCATGCTTTGCTATGTAGTTTGAATACTTTCAGCAGCACTCACTCAAGAATGCAACATCTACCTGTAATAAATGAGAAGATAAAATTAGTTGACTGTGAGAATAGAAATTTAAGCACACAAATACTTTCCAATACAGAGTGGCAAATTGTGCTCCTCATTTTAAGGTGCTGAATGTGCATGCAAAATTATTAATCAACTTATTCTGCTTGTTTTTTTGTATTAACCAATACCAGAGGCTCACCATGGAATCAAGTGTATTTTATATCTTAAATTTTAATATATTATACAATGTTATAAATTAAGACAAATCTGTTGCCTTTTGAGAAAAGATGTAGTTTCAAAATCAGATTTTGTAATCAGTTTTGAAAAAAAAATGAAAGCAGGACATACTTTGAGAATAATCATGAACTCACATGTTTGATCTGATCAAAAGTATAACTGAAGCTGAGTTTCATGGTTTTTTATTTCTGGGTCTGGCTACACAAATTCTCTGAACTCTGTTCTTATGTGTGTTCCACAATGGGTAGAAGTCAAGACATTATCCACTTGCATGAGGACCATTCATAAAAAAGTAAGTTTTACTTATGAGTTTAGGGGAATTTCACATTGTTTCTCGGATGCAATATTTTAAAGGAAAAACTTAATTTGTATCAAAACTCTGTTTCACTTGTTGGTAAGACTTGATCAGAAGAGGAAATTAGTAGCTGTTTACATGGTTCCAAATGTGGAGGAGGCAGAATATAATTTTTACTGAGTGGTAGGTGGTTGGAAAATAGGCCACATTTAGCCTTGAGTTTTTTAGAAATCAATTTTAGTTACAGATTTCGGATAATACTGTTTTTCTGGGCTGTGAAATAGGCTCCAAGCAAGCTAGTTCTTGCAGCCATATGACCCAAAACTGAAGTAAAGCTTAATCTGCTGTGCTTGTGGTTGGCATACTTTGTTAAATAAAGCTTAACACCTAGAACAGTAATTATTCTAGTTAAGAATCTCAGATAGTTTAATCTGACATAGCTCTGCATTTCAGGATTAGAGATGCTATGCACATAGCTATATATCATTCTCCCTTGGCCTAGAAAGTTCTGATGCTGCTGAGTTATCCCTGAAGCCACTTGGAGTTGAGAAAGCCAGTGTTGCAACAAAGGAGCTAGACTGGTTCAGTCTTCGCTGATGTGCTTGGTGCTTCACTTGGGCTCCAGGTGAAGGTTCCTGGTGATGCATGATTCATTTTAGGTCTTTGCTTTCTTTGGTTTTCATTACTGTGGTTCCAAGCCACAGTTTCCTACCCCCGCTTCCTGAGAGTGAAGGCTGTGTGAAAGTCTCCACGTTAGAAGCTATGTGCAGTGTCCTGTGTCTTGTGAATCTTACCTGAGCTAAGGGCAGAATGGCTTACACAGCTGTGGATGCAATCTGGTTGAGACATAGTTTAGATGGGTCATGGGTTGTGGGATGGTGGTGGGGATAATTTGCTCTTGTCGGCTGCTTTCTTTGCTGATGCTTGAGCTGCCAATTTTACTTGTCAGTATTTCCTTATCTCTTATTCCTCTTAGCAGAATTACTCTTGCAGGCAATAGTCAGTGGAGTTCCTAATCCATCAGAAAACTACAATAGAGGGGCTGAGGTTGGGACTCACTGGTAGAGCGCTCGCCTAGCATGTGTGAGGCGCTGGGTTTGATCCTCAGCACCGCATAGAAATGAATAAATAAAATAAAGGTATTGTGTCCAAGTATAACTAAAATAATATTTTTAAAAAATAAAAAGAAAACTACAATAGAAGGCAAAGGTGAGGAAAATGGTAAGTTCTACCACCAGGTGCTAAACAAAGGACACAGATGTGTTCTCCTGGAAACATCACTATGATAGCAAAATAAAGATGATGAGCAATGTTGTTGGAGTGTGGATTATAAGATTTTTAATAAGCCAGGTAAAAGAGATTATGGTCATAAAAAAAAATTTTGTGTAAATCACTTAGCACAATGGTCAGATTTGGTGACTAAGAAATTTCCAAAGTATAGTATTGAAAGATCCTGATGTAATATTAAAACATTCTTATATTCACTGACCATCTCACCTTGTCGAGATAAAGATGTGGGAAGGCAAAAGGAGAAGGGGAGGTGCATAGAGCAGAGGTTCTCAGAGTATGGTCCCTAGATTATGTTTTCATTGCCAGACCTACTGAATCAAAAACAGGGTTAGCCCAGCAAGCCTTTAGCTTGCCTTCCTGTGCATGCCAACATCTGAGAACCACAGGTTTTGCCACAATGAAATGTTTTAATGGTGCCTAAGCTCTGAGGCGCTCTTTTCTTCCCTGTATAAGTAAAGGGATGTTTTGTGTATGCTGCTTTGCAGAAATTATTCATGTCTTCATTTCCCATGTTTTTTCCTCCACGAGCACTTGAAAGATTGAAAATATCGAGAAAGGATGATATGGAGGAGAATGGCATCAAGGCCATATTCAGGTGGATGGAAATAACCTTTTTTAAGTGGGTATAAATATAGCAGTAGATTTTTAGCCTTTGAATGATAGTCATTTTCACAATTCACAGTAAAAACATTATTTGTATAAGATACTACCACTTATTGGTTTAACATATTTGTTCATTAAATTTTAGTTTCAAGGGAATATCACGTATCCAGCATGATAATCATGAATCCTTTAAAGTGTGGCTTATAAAAATGAAAAAGTTGGCTGGGTGTGGTGGTGCATGCCTGTATCTCAGTGACTCAGAACGCTGAGACGGGAGGATAGCAAGTTCAAAGCCAGCCTTAACAAAGGATTGAGGATGTGGCTTCCTGGTTAAGTGCCCCTGGGTTCAATCCTTGGTACCAAAAAAAAAAAAAAAAAGGAAAAAACTCCTAGGGTACATTGCATACATATAATCAATGTCTGTTTAGTTTTTGGTAATCATCTGCTAATGCTTTATCTCAGTACCTCAGAGCATACAAAAATGAGTTTTCCACAATTCCATTAACATTCTTTTGTCTTTGTTTTACATTGCAGCTAGTTGAGTCTTCAGGGGTTGGAAACGTAACAGCAATATCATGCTATTTCTGTTGTCTGACTCTGGATTCAACATTTCAAAATGATACTGTAATCTTAAAGCTTCGAAAAGACATAATGACCATTTTTGTATTTTATTTTTAGTAATTAGGCTGGATCCTAGCTTGTTGCCAAAGCCTAGGAAACCAAGTCCCCTTTCAGAAGATATGTGTGGTTAAGGAGTCCTTGTATTTGCAGAGATGTACTAGGAGTTCTGTAATATGTTTCCTTAGGTGTTTATGATGCGTTATTTAAATGTCATTTCAATTGTTGCAGTCTACACCAATTTTTCTTTTCCTCCTTAAAGATCAGTTAAAACTACCTCTGGCCAAAAATACTCAGTTTTACTAGAAATTATCAAGAAGCCCTTTATGATATGAATTATGTAGATAAATGTTTTCATTCTCTGAAAATTGTGACCCTTGCAGCCTGTTCAGTCAAATATTTTTAATTGGAAAAGTGAAAGCAAATATTAGAAAACTTTAAAATGGCCGTGGTAGGTTTAACTTAAAATCAACCTGCTTTACTGTGTATAGATTCTATATCTTGTTCCTCCTGGTAGTCCATGGAAGAAATTTTATGACCAAGCAAACTGATGCCACCCCAAAATCATGGTGATTGAGATTGGATTGCTCCATTTTTAATCTCAGTCAACACCTCTCCTGTTGGTAGGAGTTTTTACACAGCCATTCCAAATCCTTGTTACCTCCACCTTCTCTGAGGCAGCACTAGGCAGCACTTCTTGCTCACTCGTCCTCCCATGCACATGTTTTCGCCTGTTCTTACAAGTGCCCATCCTGCCCAGGAGAACCTTTCTCTACCCCTTGCACTCTCACTCTGGCTACAGCCTCTCCACTCACACACAGCTTTACATTCTAATGTGTTAAAAAAGACTCTCTTCAAACAAAAATTCCTCAGCTCTGAACCCCTGCTACCATTGAAGACCACGGAAGTATACCACCCTTACCTGTGAGTCCACTCATTCTGCAGTCCACTGAAGCAGTGGGTTTTTTTTTTTAACCCCAGGTGCACATGGGGATCACCTGGAGAGCATTAATAAAAGTTGAATTCCCCAACTGGACCAATTATATCAGAGAAAGAGGGAACAGACTATGCTTTTAAAAACTGCAGCAAGGGGTGAGAACTACTATAAAACCTGCCTGTTACCCTTGTCACCATTGAAGTTGTTCTTGCTGGGTTCAGCAGTAACTTTTCACTTCGAATATTTAGCCCTTGGGTTGATCTTTATGATGCTGGTGTTAGACTACTTTCTTTATCGGGAGCAAGGTCAGAAAAGGAAGAATTTTAGAAGGAAGTGGTTTGCACTTTCTCCATTTGCACAAGCAAACAGATTGGTTGGTAGGTGAGTCCAGCACAGACTGGATGTCTTGTCTCTGACTCCACCTGTTATTTTAATTGATGCCCATAGGCTAATGAATTCCTTTGCCCTACCACCTTAGTGCATCAACTTAAAGCATGGGTTTAGAACGAGGCACTTAGATTCATTAATAATTATTGTAAGCTTTGAGGAAAGCATATTCAGGGTCTCCTATGCTTCTTTACAAGTGCCCATCCTACCCAGGAGTTTCTCCAAATCATAAGGTAGGATTTGCTAATCAGATTAGAATCTAAGAGATCACCCTGTAGACTAGAGGGTAGAGCTGCTATTCATGAAAAGTCAGGCTTGAACAGTACCCTCCCCCATCACATGCTCTTTTCACTCGTTACTTACTGAGGTTTTAGACACTGGCCCTCCCGCTTGGCCATCTCTGCTTGCTGCCCTGGACATGTAGGGGTTCCATTCAGAAGGGACCTTATATGTACCTGGCTCCTTCAAATTACTAATTTCTAATTCAATATCTAGGGTAGGTGGGTATGCCTAGTAGTCATGTCCTAGCCGTAGAAAGTGAGAAGCCTTCTGCAGTGTTTAACTTCCACTGGAGATGGGAAACTAGCAAACACAGGAAGGTACCTCACATGCGGGACAGCCAAAATAAAACAGGTCCACTGGAGTCATTGCCCTAGTCCCTCATTCAGCTGAACACACACTAATCCAATCCTCCTCAGGAACCTCTTAGGGAAGGGAGTAGCTGCCCCAGAGGGGAATATTCTAGGGTCACTTAGATATATGCCTTTGAAACCACTAGAACCTATCTGCTGTCCTTTATAATGATAATGGAGAATATTTACCAAGTGATTATTATATGCCATCTATAAGCATTTATTTCTCAACAACTAAGGTTGGTATTTATCCATTTTAAAGTAAGGAAATGGTTACAGATTAACTTGCTCAAAGTCGTAGTTATGAAGTGTCTACCTGGATTCAAGCTCATCTGTTTGATATTAGAGTGACTGATCCCAACCAGTACCTATGCTGCCTCTTCACAATACAGATGAACTGTTGGAGGCCATACGTGGAAGAAGTACACTGTGGGTCACTGGGCCAGGGCCAGGTGTCTGGTGAAACCCCTTAAACCTTTGGCTTATTGCTCCTGGTAGGCTATTTATCTGCTAATTGTGAGTGGATTCATTCTCTCTGTCTACATCATTGAAAGGAAATAGACAATTTCTGGGACATTGTCTTATTACAACCTTTTTTTTTTTTTTTTTTTTTTTAAAGGTGGCCAGAGCAAAGGAAAAGACAATAAAATCAAGTCTGTGACAATAAAAAAGTACTGCCCTGTGCTGGGTGTAGTGGTGCACACTTGTAACCTTAGTATCGTGTGAGGCTGAGGCAGGAGGATTGTGAGTTCAAAGCCAACCTCAGCAACTTAGGGAGACACTGTCTGAAAAAAAGAAAAGAGAAGTATTATCCTTTTTGTACTAAGGTTCAACAGATTTCTCAGCCAGAATGACATGTATTTCAAGTTGTTAATGGTAGTGATGGACTGTTAAACATCTTGCTAGACATCTCTTTGCTAGCAAAACAGCTGTCTTAAAGTCTTGGCTTTTAGGGATGCTGTTTATTCAGTAGATGTGTAAAGAATACATTTTATGCCAAACCATACATAATAGGAGCTGAGTACTCTGGAATTCCTGCTTTTATAAAGTTCATAGTCTGATGAGGAAGAGAGTAGAAAAACAAGTATTATGTTGGGGGTTTGTGCGGGAGGAGAATATCAGTATTTTGGCAGTGCAGTTGAGGGCACTTTAATTAAAACTAGGCAGAAGAAGGAGTCAAAAAAATATGACTGAGTCTCGAGCAACGAACAGGAGTTAAATGGAAAAAAAAGTTGAAGTCTTCCGAGGGTGGAAGCATGCTTTGGTGTGGCCAGTATAGCGATGGGCCCTTGTGCTTGAGGTAGATGGTAGTGGCGGGCTGGCTTGTTGATTTGGAGAGCTGTGGTATTCAGCTAAGTTCAGCTGTGGTTATGGAAACCCTGCTACTGCTTGGCCATTGTGCAAAGCTGGAACTGAGAACTGAACAGGTTTACATTCCCTTGATCACCTTCCCTGGGAAATAGAACCAGCCCACCTATTGGTAGGAACTACTGATATGTTTAAGATTGAAATGAACTGGAAATAAGATTTATCCCATGACTTGTCTGATTGCCTTACATATTCTAGCATGATACTAGTCTGAGATTATTCCCTTGGAACCACGTACTTATTTTGGTAGAATTTAATGTACATTGTGATGGTCCTTGTTCCTATACTGTTCTTCAGTAACAAAGTTGTTACTAACTATCTGTAAAGCATTTTTAGTTTGTTTCTCAGTAGTGACAATAAATTTGTGTTGATCCATTTACACCTTTTCAGTCATTGATATTTTAAGCTTGCGTAAAGTACTCCATCCATAGAGTAAAACCAATTTAACTGGCCCACACTAATCTCTGATCCCTTAATTTCCACCTCATTAGTACCATGCTGTAAGCAAAGTTTTCTAAGTCCTCTAGAACTAAAAGTGAAATAAGTGTGAGTTTTTAGTCATTATTTTTGCTGAACAGCTTCTGACCAGCATTTAAATTAGCAGCTTTTGTATATAGAAATAGGAAAATGGCTTTTATGCCCCATTATTAAGATATTAGGGAGAATAAATTATCATTGCTTATTGTAGGGAATTAAGAAATAGAGAATTTTAGGGGATTCTGTGAAAAAGCATTTAAAATAGTTTGCTAGAAGGAAAATTCAGACTGTTAATTATGAGAAAAAAAAACACATGTATACACAACCAAGCCACATAAGTTATTTTTTAAAACTAGAATAAGGCCAAACAAATCTGTCACATTAAAGTAAACTTGCCAATAAGTAGAAGACAAAAATATCAAACATTAATTCCATGTTGTAAGATTCAGAATGGTTCAGAAAGGTTGAGCAAAATAAACCAATAAGAAAACCAGTGGTAGACTTTAATATCAGAAAAGGTTGAACTAAAGAAGAATTAAAAGAAAAAAAGAGCATTATATAATGTGAAAGAAGGCATTTAACACTGAAGATATAATAGATACCTGCATAAATAACAGAATTGCCATTCATATATTACCAACCATAGGAGATAAGGAAGAAACATACAATGTTAGAGATTTTAATGCAATCATCAATTCATGACAGATCAAGTGATAAAAACTAGAACATGGGAACATTTAAATAAAGTATTTTATATATTTAGACTGTGCCCTAAAACAGTGACTACACCTTATTTTCAAGTGTTCATGAACTTTTTCCCCTAATTTATTGTATATTGTATATACATAAATTCCAGAATGGAGAAGTAGTACCAATGGCATTTAGTGATATGAATGTAATAGAATATAACTGGAAAACAATGTCCATCTGCAATCTAAAGTGTTTTTAAGCTCTTGAACTTGAAGAGGAACTGCAAAGCATTAAAGAGCATTATTTTATACCTAAAAATACACTTGTTCCTATCAGATTCAAATGAAGCAGTGCCTAAAGGAAAATTCATAGCCCTAATATTGTGTACCAAAAAAATTAAAAATTTAAACACACTGCTCAAGATATTAGGAAAAAGATGCAAAATGAATCTTTTAAAAGACAAAAAGTAAAGAAAAGAAATTAATTTTTTAAATGGGAAGATAGATTTAATAGAGCTCATTTTTAAAAATATGTGATAAAATGATAACAGAACACAGGTGAAATAAGGTAGAACCATGAGACACTAAAATGGATTGAGTCATAAATTATACTTTGCCCAACTATATGCAAATAATTTTGAAAACTTGGGCTGGAAGATAATTTTTTAAGGAAAGTATAATTTGCCAAAAATGACTTGGAAAGAGAGAAGTCTAATGTACTGATTATTATGAAAGAAATAAAAGTATTATTTTTATTAATATGACATACCTCAAATGACCCTCTCAAAAAAATATATATATATGGAAAAATTTTAAAAACTTTGTTGTATTAGTTTTCAGCATGAAATAGAATTTATTTGAAAGATGTGTATTTTAGAGTCCAAGCAAAAGTTCAGTCAGAATTGAAGTAAGAACAGTTTAGGGAACATGAGCGGTGATGATTTATGGTCCTTCTCGTATCCACATTAGTGTGACACAGAGCCTCCTCTCGACATTTCTTAAGCCCTTCTCCCAGCTTCTCCTAATGTTAACTACCCCTGTTGCAGTTACCAAACTAGGAAATTAACATTGACACAATCCTATGAACTACATACTTTATTAAAATTCACCAGTTTTCTCACTAATGTTCTTTTTTCTGGCTCAGGATTCAGTGCAAGATCCATATGTACTTGTGTTTTCTGGGATTGATATTCTGCTCCATGGTCTACTTGTCTACTTTTGACAGGACCGCACTGTTGAATTTTAGAGACTTTAATAATATGTTTTAAGGACCAGTAGAGTTCATCCCATTCATAATTTTTCTCTTTTAGTGTGTTCCTGCCTATTCTTACATGTTTATTTTTCCATATGAAATTTAGTATCAACTTGTCTGACTCCATTAAAATAAAGTGTGTTGGCTTTTTATTAATATTGTTTTGTTGTTAACTAATTAAGGTGAACCGACCCCTTTGCCATGACCCCAAACACATCTACATCTCCAAGAAGTGTTTTCATTTGTTCAAGTCTATCTTTGTTCCTTTTTGGTAGTATTTTAAAATATCCCTTCTATAGGTGTTGCGCACTTCCAGTTAACTTTATCCCTGAATATTTAAATTTCTTTATTTCTGGGAAGTGGGAGGTTTTCTCTGCCTTTTTAGTTTCTAACTGGTTATATGGGAAAAAAAAATATATATATATATATAAACAATATTGATTTTTGTATCTAATTTTATACCCTGCCTCTTTACTAAATTGTTTTACTGTTTGGATTAGTTGTTTCATTGATCCCCAGTGTTAAATTTTTTTTTTCCTAAGTGCACATAAGAAATGAAAGCATGGGAATGTGTCTTAGTGGAGAGTACTTGCCTAGCCTGTATAGGACTTTGGTTTGATCCCTAGTGCCACAAAAAACAAATACACACACAAAAAGAAGAACTTCCACAGATAGTCGTATAGCATATAAATAACTGTTAAAAACTACAAACCAAAGAAGGAAATAATTATAGATACTACTGATTAAAATATTAATAAAATAATCCCATGATCAACCTTACCCAATGAATTTGAAAACTTAGTGAAAGGGACAAATTCCCAGGCAAAAATATAGTTTACCAAAATTCAATCAGAAAGGAAAAGCTTGATCAGTCCTATAACATTAAACAAATCTAATCAGTAGTTTAAAAAATCTGGGACTATGTAGAAAGATTTTAAATGATCCTTAAAATATTACCAGTTCTTTTTCTGGAGCTGAACATTTATTGATGATAAGGTTCATTTGGTAGAACAAATGTGCAAGACTAGTACGAAACAGCCCTGAAAAGGCCTGGGAAATATAATGTACTAAAGTGTGAAACCTGTAAGTGAGTGTGGTGTAGGCATAGAATAGATATATGAATGGACCAAAAGAAGCAATTCAGAAATAGGCCCAATTGCATGTGAATATTCAGGACAAAATAAAAGTCCAAAGTCAATGGGGGAGAAGATAGACCATAAGAGAGAATGGTGTTGAGGTAATGGGATAGACTTCTATAGCTCTATAGAGATCTACAGCCACCTAGACAAAGTTAGATCTGTTTCTCACACTATGACAGGATAATCTTCAATTGATTAGAGATTTGTACAGTTTTAACCACAGAATTACTAGAGAAGAAGCAGATGAATTCCTTAGTAACAGGGGTCAGTCAACTATGGCCTGTGGGCCAAACTGTGCCCAAGGGACATTGTGAGCTGCTATAGTCTAAGAATGACTTTTACACATTTAAATGATTCAGTAAAAGGAGGACATGAGACAGAGACATTGTATGGTTGCAAGCCCTAAAATATTTACTATCTGACCTATAAAAAAGAGATGGTTCTGTAGCCGGGGAGTGGATTCCCCCCTCACACATACACTTATTGTGAGCTATTGTGTAATAATGCCACCCAGCTCAGCTGATGGAGCCAGGCCCCAGGTCTCCTTCCCCTTGGGCCACTTAGGAAATGGGCTCTGTTGCTTTGGTGTGGAAGGTATTGTAAATTCATATAGCAAAGGGTACAGGTACAGGGGAGGGCGAAGGATTAGGGACAAAATATAATCCCCTACACCAAATACTACTTAAAATGCAGATACAATCAGATACATTTGACTTCATTCAAAAAAACAAACAAAAAAAAAACTTTTACATGCACATATACTGTAAGCAAGACAAAATAAAGTGATAACTTATAAACATGTTTGCAATTTATGTCACAAATTATTGGCACATTATTCATATATAAAGATTATTTTTATGGTCCTGGGGATTGAACCCAGAGGCCCTCTTAGCTACATCCCAGCCCTTTTAATTTTTTATTTTGAGTCAGGGTTTCACTAAGTTGCCCAGGCTGACCTGGAACTTAGGATCTTCCTGCCTCTGCCTCCTGAATCACTGGGATTATAGACATGCATCACTGTACCCAGTTTAAAAATAACTTCCAAAAATAGAGGATATTCTATACGGAAAAAAATGGGGAAGAGATATGAACAGACTACTCATGGGAAAAAATGCAAATAATTCTTAAATCGATGCTCAACTTTCCATATAGTTAGTACAAAACCTAATGAGTGGATATTCTTATTATCCCCATTTTAAAAGAAACAGAGTCATAAGAGGTAAAGTGTTTTGCCTGAACACAAATAAATGGTGGTGCTAGGATCTGAACCAAGTCAGAAGGCTCTAGATAAAAGCAATTCACCATGACTAAGTGACGTTTATTTCAGGAATGCAAGGATCATTTAATATTAGGAATAGCTGGGTGTTTCCTTAATATAATAAAATATATTTATCTCAATCAGAAGTCAGCGTTGTGCTTAATTGAGAATACCAGAAGCAATTTCATTAAAGCCAGGAACAAGACAAAGACGTCCACTAATCATCACCATTATTTAAAATTGTTCTGCAAGTCTTAAAACAATTAGACAAGAGAAAGAAATTAAAGATAAAGAAATTAGAAGGGAAGAGAGAATAAAATTATAATTTTCAGATGACATGATTAGATTGTTTACCTAGAAACTAAAGAGGACTAACCCAAAACTTACAATGTAAGAATTTAATACTTTTCAGAAATAAATAATTTTTGTATATACAACGTCCAATTCCATGCTGTATGGGAAGAAAATTTCTTTGTAAAATAGCAGAAGAAAGCTTAAAGAACAAAATTCTTAGACATGAACTTACAGTATTTATAGACAACTTTAAAATGCAAATGAGGAACACAAAACAAGACCCAAACAAATGGAAAGACATACCAGATTCTTACATAGGAATGATCAGTATCATGAGTATTAATTACCTTTAGTTAATCTATAAATTTAATGAGGTCTCCAGTAAGTATACCAGTAGGAGTTATTTTAAGTTATATAAGCTGATTCTTATGGAAAAATAAATAAGTGTGAATAACAAAGATGGAGATGGTTAATAGACTAACTCTTCTAGACATTTAAATTGATAACACCTATAGCAACTAACACAGTGTGGTAATAACTTGTGACTAGACAGATGAGGAGAATAGAACAGTTCAGAAATAAATCTAAATACATATGAGAATTGGGGATATGATAAAGATAGCTTTTCAATGGGGTGGGGGGAGATTATTCAGTAAATTGGGTAAGGACCACTGTGTAGTGCTCTGCAAAATGGTTAATTTGGATCCGTATATCACTCCTT